TGCCGGTACACTACAGCATTGCTGCACCCCTCCCAAGCCTGGGCCCTCCTGCTCCCCCAGCATCTCCAGATATAGGCCCAGTCTTGGAAAATGCAAGTGACCCACCTTCCTGGGGATGCTCTGTTCCCATCCAAGGCCTCTGTGGGTCTTGCAGCAGCCAAGGACCTTGTCAGCCCTACTGCTCTGGAGAGAGGAAGACCCTCCTCCCTCAAATTGCAATACACTTTGCATTGCACCTTGCAAATGGGCTCTTATGTACGTGGGAATACGGAGCATAGATCCCATTCTGAGCTGTGTGGGAAAGGTTCTGCATTCTGTGGGGTTTCCTCAGCACTGTCAGCTACACCACTCATTTGCAAGCTCATTTTGCTCCGGTGGCTGCTTTGACACACTCAGTGGCTGGGCCCTTACACATGGATTAGAATCGGATTGCCAGTCCAAACCAGCAGGGCAAGCCAAAAGTTGTTACAAAAAATGTGTGAGGATTTTAAACACCTTTTGCAATATCTAATATTCCTCTAGCTCCACAACACGCCTCTTGCATAGCGGACCTCTGTCCAGAACACACGTGGCAGAATAAAGCACTGAGCTAAGCGAACAATTCCAAGCCAGGGACAGGGCACCAAGCACTCTGCAGGAATAGAGTTCCTTTTTGAAGAGTAGTTTTACTTGAGCATTACTATGAGAAGAAGCACCCTTTGTTCAGCAGATCTGCTCATGCATGTATCCATCAGTATCCATCACTTTAGTCACTAAAGTTTTGATACTCTTTTACTTAACCACACAGCAACAATATAACCAAGAGGAAGTGAGCTGGATTCTGCTCCTTCTTGTGCATCTATGGAATTATTGGTTATGTCTGTGCAAACCCACTGGACACAATGGGGCGTCACACATGGTGCTGAGAGCAGAATTTGGCTCATCAGATCTGTTCCTGGTGAAGTGGAATGAGACAGGGATAACTTAACTTCATTCTCACTTGATCTTAAGTCCTGGACACAGAACAAGCAAGGAACCCCACAATGACACTTGAATTTTAAAAGTATATGGTTTTTAATTGGGAAGGAAAGTCTACAGGGGAAAGACACAAAACAAGTAAGATGAGGGAAATTCCTGCATGAATATTATGCCTGGAATAATATTTAGTGGAAGGAGCCATGTTCAGCTGTCCAGACAAAACTAGAAAACCCACTTTGCTTACCTCAGCTCAAGAAAGAATCTTCTTGCTCTAACAAAGCTTGTAGAAAGATGAGTGTGGGGGAGGTGAAATGGATTTAGATACTCTGAGAAACACTATTATTGGAAAGGAGAAGCAACCAGTGCCACCTATTCAATGTATATAAGCTAAGGTGGGGCTAGATACACTGCTCCACCCAGAACACAGGTGATCCCACCTACTGCTGGACGAAGATATAAATCAAAGGGAGTTAGTAGAATTGCTTTTTGGGGGAAGGTCTAGAGAAAAACAGGCTGCTAATAAAGTAAATGAGCACTGACTCCATAGAAGTCTTTTTCCCTCTTATCCTAATGAGGAAAGTACGTATTTTCACATTGGTTAGCCAAGGTTATTTTATAGCCAGTTTGTGGAATGGTCAGTCCTAGGACTTTGCTCTGGACTAGAATAACTGAATGTAGCAACCAGAGTGTATGTTGCCCTACATATAGCTAGAAGGGGAATGGTGAGAGGCCTAAGGAGATAAAGATGGAACTAATGAGAAGCAGGAGGACGGGGGAGGGACAATAAACCTCTATAAAGGGAACAAAGCTACTTGGCTTAACAGCTCTCAGAACTGGTTTAATCTTACAACTTAATGTAGAGTGCAGGCCTTGATTGGCAAGTGCTAGTTTAGATCGGTCATTTCAGGGGAACTCCTCTTGTGGATAAAGGCTACATGTACAGGTTCCTATGGTACCTATTGCCATAACATTTGAGACCCGGAACTTACAAACATATGCTTACCTTACCCATGTGTGTAGTTCATTCACCTGACTCCAGCAGGATTACTCAGATGTTGTAAATGTCTGCAGGGGTGGGAGTCTAGTGACAGTCTCATACGCGGAGTCCAGAGTGTGGGCCAAGGGGGCGAGGCTGCTGTCCTAGCTAATAAAGGAAAAAATACTCCACCATCTGTCATGCCAATTACGATGAGCCTGTTTAGGATTTCTTGCCACCTGGCCTTTCCCACAGCGTTGCATTCTAAAAAATCAAAGCACTTCTTCTGTTAGTCTCTCTCCATCAGAAGGCATCTGAGATACCGGCTGGCTATGTGGGGAGGGGA